ATTGACTTACCTCCTGTACCGTCTCACGACCCGCCTCCTGATTCTGTGAAAATTTAAATTGTAATTGCAATCAAGAATTAGCAGTTATTAGAACTAAAACCTAAAGTAGTGCCGATAATTATGAACAAAATGCAACTAGTTTCATTGACTTACCTCCTGTACCGTCTCACGACCCGCCTCCTGATTCTGTGAAAATTTAAATTGTAATGACAATCAAGAATTAGCAGTGATTAGAACTAAATATGCACCAATAATTCAAAACGAGCAATGGGCAACCTACCTCCTGTACCGTCTCACGACACGCCTCCTGATTCTGTGAAAATTTAAATTGTAAGTACAATCAAGAAATAGCAGTGATTAGAACTAAACCTAAATGAACGCCGATATTTCAAAGTGAGTAAGAGGCAACTAGTTTTATTGACTTACCTTCTGTATCTTCTGACGAACCTCCTCCTGATTCTATGAAAATTTTCATTGTATTAAAGTACAATCAAGAATTAGCAGTGAAGTGGGGGGGGGGGGGGGGGGGTAAATATTTTCTTGTATAATTTTTATAACAGTTCTCGTAATTTTTTGGGGGCGGTTGATCTCTCCCTTTCTTCCCCGTTCCACTCCCCTCCTCTCCTCTTCTCTTCCCTTGCTATTCCACTAGAAAAAAAGAAAAGTTTCAAGAACAGCATTTATGATATTTCGTTCACTACAACGTTCAGCGTAATTAAAATCATTAGCGTTGATTAATGACTTGTAGTCCGGTGATTAAAACCTAGACTTTGAATCCGATTTAAAATCTTAGACTGTGACGATTTTCACCTTAAACTTTGATCCCCCGAGTACGAAAGCAGACGAAAATCAGATTCCTAGACCCCCCCACTCACAAAAAAAAGTATGAAAATTAAAACGCTGAAGCCGAGAGTCAATTCCATATGCCTCGTTACTAAGGACAATAAAAGCACTCAATAACGTACCTCCTGTAGCGCCTGACAGCTCTTCTGAAACTAAAACAGAATAATGAAAAATACAAAATAAAACCGAGCTTTCTACCTACGCGTCATGTTCATTGTTACAATGATCTCGTTTATACAGCTAACAGAAAAACTTCACCAAAAACTACATTTTTATTGCTGCCATGTCAAAAAAATATAATGATAATAATAATAAATAAATAAAAAGTAAGTAAAAAATTTGATGACGACAGGGACGACTTAAGAGGGAAAACCCAGAAAAAATGTTAGAATCAAAAACAGCTTTAAACGCATTGAAAATGCTACTCTAGAAAAAAAAAAAAAAAAACTGACAAAAACTGTTCTTTTTTGTTGTGTCTTTAATTATTTGTATAAAAACAACTTAATCTTCCTCTTTGATATTTTTAAACCTGTTGAATTAGATACAAATAAAAACAAGAATAAGCATGTTTGTTCTCGATTTCTATTTATTTTAGACTTGATTATATTCATTGACCGAAATGAAGATGCTTTTATTAACATATTTCCAAAATGATTGTTTGTAGACCTTGCTCCTAAACAAACAGCTCTCAATCTTGAAAGTTGTTATCATTTCACCGTGAAACCGTGAAACATTAGTGAGATTAAAGGGCTACTTGGACGAAAATTGCGAAGCATTAAAAA